AGTTTTATACGGCAAAAGGAAGGGGAAAGGTAGCATATGTTTTCAAGCACATGCAACTGTCAAAGTTCGCAAAGAAATATCTGGTTTGGCAAGCCATCTGTACCTGTGGCTTGAAAAGCAGCATTTTCATAGCTTCCGGGACTGTCAACCAAGAAATTTACGTGAAAGAGTGTTTGAATAAACGTCTGCTGCCTTTCCTGAAGAAACACGGTTGTTCCGTGCTGTTTTGGCCGGATTTGGCATCTTGCCATTACGGTAAAAAGGCCATGGAGTGGTACGCCGCCAATAACGTGCAGGTGGTTCCCAAGGACAAGAACCCTCCCAACACGCCAGAGCTCCGCCCAATTGAGAAATACTGGGCTATTGTCAAGCGGAACCTAAAGAAGACCAAAAAAACTGCTAAGGGCGAGCAGCAGTTCAAGGCAAACTGGCTTTCTGCGGCGAAGAAGGTGGACAAGGTGTCTGTACAAAATCTGATGGTAGGGGTCAAGCGTAAGGCCCGGCAATTCGGATTTGGAAAAGCGGAAGCCTAACTGAATATTTTTCCTGAATTTTATACTAATTGAACTTGAAAAAGAAATTTAATTTGATTTTTTAAATAAACGATTTCACCGATTTACACGCGTTTTCCCTTGACCAAATTTTAACCGTATAACCTTTAGGTTAGGGATCGGTGGAAATATTTTGAGATGGTTTCGTTCACCTCACGGAGCGCCAACTGACAGTAGCTTTGGGTACTTGTCGCTCAGCAAGTTTCTGCGCAAAGTCCGATATATCTTATGGTAGCCATCTGGGACCATTAGTATTTCTCCTTTACTTCGACGACGTTCACCATGTTATCACAGGGCCACGATTATCTTTTTTTCTTTATTAGAGTGACTTTCAGCCACTGGCTGGGTCGTCACTTAAAAAGGGATAGAGGGCTTCAGAGAGCGCCCCCCCTGATGTGTAAAGGGTACAATTGAGTTTGACAGAGTTATAATAACGGAGTTGGTTTTGTTGGCAGATATTCAGATAACTTGGGGTGTGTCTAGTAGTTGGTCCGTGTAATAATCCATTGTCGTCGCTTGGTCTTGTGTCCGATTATTGTGGTCATTTTGTTTTTATGTGTAGTAGTTTTTCGTGTTCAGTTCCATTGTTGTCGCTGTGCGTAATTTTGTACCTTCATTCGTCCATTTGCGTGTCCTTATTCGTGCATCATCTTAATATAGTCGCTCGTCCGTTTTGAGTCAGTGGTTGTTGCCAATAGTAGTTCAATGCTTTGTTGCTAGAGGGGTCATAACTCAGGGTGTTCCTGCCGCTTGCTGAAATCCCGTATTGGATGCGTGGTCCATAGTACTGGGGGCAGTTGCATAGGAAATGCTCCACTGTATGTGGCACATTACATGTCTCGCATTGCTTCCTAAATGGACCTCCGCCTCCCATGTTGTGAGAGGCTTTGGTATGACCCGTTCTCAGCCGCGATAGAATTACTTGAGATCGGTGTTCAGGCGGATCATCCCATCTTCTGGTGTTCCCTTTAATTTTCCGGATAAAAAGATCTTGCGATCGCAGCCATTCATTTGTCCAGCAATTCCATACTGTAGTCACGATCCACAGCAATTCCATACTGTAGTCACGATATAGGGCCACTCACTCGCCGTTCTCTCCAAAATCAGATTGGACATCTTTGTTGACTGCTGTAGTCTAAACCTTCTGGTGGTCAACCCAGCTAAGTGTACAATCATTACACAGATAAAAATTCTGAATTTTAATTGTGATGTAAACATTCATTCACGTAGACTTGTATTTTATTTCACGCAACCGAGCAACTTGCAAACAATGTTGTTTAGAAAGATGGGCTTTTGTATACAATATTTGCTACATTGCATGAAATGTGTCAGAACTTTACATGATATATAATGTAAACGTATATGATATGTGACGCTCCATTTATGTGCATCATATTGAACAGAAATTTACACTACTTTTTCGAACTGTGTACTTTCTCACGCAAGAAACAACCGATCATTTTCAACTACAAACTACTCGGCCCGACCAGGCATGGAAAATCATTTACATACATTAATTTGTCTCTAACTTTTTCCATCAATAGAATTCCGTAAAGTAATGTATGAAGCTTTTGTAGGTTTTATAATTAGCTACAACTTTTGTCACAGACTCAAATCTGTATCTCTTATGCATGATGAACCAGAGCAAACTGAACCCACCATTGTTTTTGAATAAATGTAAATTACATTCACCGAAAAACAATAACATGTTCTGCCTGATATGAGCTATTTGCAAAAGTTGTAGTTAATTATACAACCTACAAAAGCTTCATGTACAATTTTACGGAATTCTGTTGATGAAGAAAGTTAGAGGCAAATGAATGCCAATGAATGAACGAAATGAATGCAAATGATTTTCCATGCCTGGGCACGACTATCGAACGGGTGCATTGCGTGAAAGACTTAGGTGTTTTCTGGACTCAAGGCTGACATACTCACATCATATATCGTATGTCGTCGACAAAACGTCCAGAACTCTTGGTGTTGTCTTCAAGATTACTAAGAACTTCACAGACATTTACTGCTTTAAATCGCTCTATTGCTGTTGCTATTGCTCTCTCGTACGATCTACGTTGGAATACTGCTTTGCAGTCTGCAGCCCGAACTACAATAATGCGGCCGAGCGAATTGAATCTGTGCAACGACGTTTTCTTCGCGCTCCGTAAGCTACCTTGGAGATACCCACTTCGTCTTCCAAGCTACGAGAATCGCTGCCAATTGATCAATGTCGAGCCCTTACGTATCCGAAGAGATGTTTTCAGAGAAGAATCGACTGCGAAGCAATTCTGCAACAAGTGAACATTGATGTTCAACCTCGATCACTACGCAACAATCTTATGCTATAACTTCCACTTCTTCGAACTAATTATAGCTTAGGGAGCGCTATTTACGGCTTTCAGCGAGTAAACGGCTGGACAATGCGTACCATTGATACTTCGTGTATCTGCAGGTATAAAATAGACCCCACTAGCGGTCCTTAGCCTCTTAATAGTCCAGTAACTACTATCCCTACCTTCCCGCGATGCCGGCTGGGGTGTTAGCAACAATCAATACGAAACTAACGATTTTAAATTGGCTCACTACTTGACTAGCCTATTGGTCCCAAGCAAATCGATTAACGTATCCCATTCTAGTAGAAAGTCTAGTACTACACAATGTTTGTTTTGATTCGCTATGAAAGTTTGACAGATAAAATGAGGAGTTAGTGGATTTTCGAGGGGTGAATCGATTAGCTTGGGACCGAAGAGAGTACCAGAGCTGAGCCAAAAAGTTGAGCACGTTATTTCGGGACCTTCTAGTCTTAGAGTTTCCTCTATGGTTAGACCAAGTGAAGCAGGATCTTGGAAGTGTGGAACGGTCAAGAAATTGGAGACAAGCAGCCACGGACCGAGTGAATTGGCGTAACATTGTGATGCAGGTGCGATCCTGAGGGATGTCGGACCAGGATAAGTAAGTAAGTAAGCGAGTGTTCAACCGAGTAGCGTCGATGTTCGATTTCCACTTGACACGGAATATGCTTCGCCGAAGATTCTCTGCGTTTTTTGCTGACCGAAGGCGCTTGATGCCCAACAGCTAAGTGTAAAATTTAAGACTTATAAATTTTTAGTAACTTGACAATGCTAACCTTGTTATTTTCGTCTGTAACTGTAGTAGTATATGTAGTCTGTATAATCTGCACTTTTATTTACAACACATCATTGGGACTATTTCTAGTCTGTTGATGCAAACATAACAAATAAACAAAACTATAAGGCAGTGGTTGGGAAAATTCTCCTGAAACTAAAAACGTTCGGATCAGTAGTGGATCACCCTGGCAGAGGCTGAAAGCGCAAAACGGATGCGAGAACGGACACCAAGATCATGCGCGAAGTCAAGAAGAACCTGAAGGTAACTGTCCGCGGGATAGATCCAGGAAACCCTTCAGCTATCAGTTTCCGGTCGAACTGTTCGTCGCCGTCTCGTAGCACAGGGGTTGAATAACAAAGTTGCCCGAAAGCGCCCATTTATCAACAAGGCAAACAAAGCCAAACGACTTAAGTTTGCCAAGGAGCATGCTGATAAGCCCCTAGAGTTCTGGAAAACGATTCTCTGCGCGGACGAATCAAAATTCGAGCTGTTTAACCGAAAGCGGCGGATTCGTGTGTGGTGCAGATCGGGTGAGGAGTTTCAGGAGCGCCACATCCAAGGCATGGTGAAGCATGGAGGAAGAAATGGGATGGCCTGGGAGTTGGTTGGTTGGTTGATTGTCTTTATTGAGGAGATTTTCAGCCAGACGCTGGTTCATCTCCGGGAACCCCTGAATGGGGTTGGTTACAGAATTAAAAAATTGAAAAAAGTGTCCGGAGGGGGCACTTCTGAAAGATGGGGGAGGCTCCAGAAGGGAGTCCCTTTAATATGGAATACTTATGTTATGCAGAGTGATATCTAAGATACGGTTATTGTCTTTTGATGCTGACTCATTTTACGTTGAGAGGTGGAGGGTTTCCTGGGATGGCTAACGGAGAGGAAGTCCTTGTTCTTAGCTGTTGTTGGCGCGTTTACCGTGGCCAACTCCGGTGGGTTGGAAGTGGACTGTATTTCGTTCGGATTGAAAGATTCAACACACTAATCAAATTATCACCTTAACACTACTTTTATTCTAACTAGTTCACTATTTCTCTACAGATTGCTTTCTTACTTCACTGGATGTAACTTGGATGGTGGTCGGAATAATACTCAAAAAAACGCTGGCTGGCTGTGTCGCTTTTATAGCAGTCGTCCTATCGTATTTTGCTACTTTTGGTCCTATATACTTGCCTGCCGTGCGCTACGGCGAGCAGCAGGCAGCAGCATGTTGAAGAGAAGTATATAGTGCTTCTCCCTTCTCGTTCGGTGTCCTTAAAATTCTACCTGGAGTGCGTTGTTGCCACGATGGGTGGTTTGAATGACGATGTTGTGTTTTGGAAGCTACTATAGCTTGTTTCGCACGGAACATACTCCGCCCGGTTGACTCGTAGATTCAACATCACTCAGGGTTGGTGGCTCGTTGTCCTCAATCGGCAAAACTGCGATCCGGTTGATCGGTCGTCGGTAGGTAGCTCCGTTAGACGACACATCGATGGCTCGGACCAATCCATCTGGCCCTGGGAATACCTGCATGATGCGGCCTAGCTTCCAGTTAAGCGGTGGTTGATTTTTGTCCTCCAGTAGAACTACCATTCCTGGGCGAAGGTTGGATGTCGTCTTGGTATTCTTTGACCTCGGTTGAAGGCTGCACAAATAATCTCTGGACCAAGATTTCCAAAAATCCTCACGCATCTTCTGTAGATGTTGCCATCTTTTCAGACGATTAATTTGGATGTCTTCAAGGGATGGTTCCGGAACGGCTGTAAGTGGTCTACCAATCAAGTAATGAGCTGGCGTAATTTCCTCTATGTCGGCTGGATCGGAGGAAATCGAAAACAGTGGCCTAGAGTTGAGAACTGCTTCGATTTCGGTGAGTATGGTTGTTAGCTCTTCAAATGACAATTTGGAATAGCCAACCACTCTGACCAAATGTCTCTTTGTCGATTTTACAGCGGCCTCCCACAAGCCACCGAACTCGGGTGCGTTCGGCGGTATGAAATGCCACTCGATCTCTTTTGGCTGACAGAAGGACTGGATACGTCCTGTGAACTGCTGATCCTGGAACTGTTGATATAGCTGGTGCAACTCGTGTTGTGCTCCTCGGAAGTTGGTGGCATTGTCAGAATGCAACTGTTGCACCATTCCTCTTCGGCTGATGAACCGTTGTAGCGCAGCTAAGAAGGCGTCGGATGTGAGATCAGACACGACCTCGAGATGCACTGCTTTTGTTACCATGCAAACAAATACTGCCACGTAAGCCTTGATGAGCCTGGATCGGTAATTTCCCATCTTGATCCAAAATGGGCCGGCGTAGTCGACACCAGTCACTGCAAACGGAGGTGCTGGATTTATCCTCGGTTGAGGAAGATTGCCCATCAGCTGCGTTGACATATTTGGATTTGTGCGGAAACATCTTACACAATTGCGGGTCACTTGCCGGATGGTTGAACGGGCGCTCAGCAACCAATACCTCTGGCGCATAGCAGCAATCAAGCCATTTTGCCCAAGGTGCAAATGCTCGATGTGCATTGTGCGGATTAGCTGCTTCGTCAGTGGATGTCTGTTCGGAAGGATAATCGGATTCTTCGTCTCGGCTCGTAGATTCGAATGTTGCAGGCGACCACCAACTCTAAGCAATCCATCGACGAACACTGGATTCAAGCCTCCTAGCTTGCGGCACGGTTTGTTGGTTTGGACACGACGTATTTCGTCAGCTAGCTCTGACTGTTGAACCATCCCCATAATGGTGAAATTCGATCGACGGAGTTCGGAAATAGTAACGTACCGGTTGAAGATACGTTGTGACCTGTTCTTGGTGCGGATGTTGGCGATGGATCGAAGTACCAATGCCATGATGCGTTCGATCTTCCTGAAGTCACTGAAGCGGGAAAACAGTGGAAACTGTTCCACCACAGCCGAAGTGACAATTTCGGTGCTTGTCATTTCGGGAAGCTGTTGGTCGGGGATATCGACTAACTCCTGTTCGTCGTACTCGAGTTTCGTGAGGAAACTTGGTCCGGTCCACCAAAGATTGTTTCTGCGCAAATCGTTTGGTAGCTGACCTCTGGACACGATGTCTGCTGGATTATCACCAGATCGGATGTAGCACCAGCGATATCCTGCAGTGGAGGTATTGATTTCATGAATTCGGTTTCGGACAAAAATCTTGAGGCGATCGGCTGATCGTTTCATCCACGCCAGAACGATTTGACTGTCCGACCAGAGGACCACGTCACGGAATTCCATTTGCATGGCTGGGATAATCCTCTGAATGAGTCGAGTTAGTAGCAATGCGGCACACAATTCCTTTCGAGGCGTTGAAAGGTCATGTAGCGGAGCAATCTTGGACTTGCTACTCAGCAACTTCATCTTGGCGGAACCGTTGGAGAACAGGCTTCGAACATAAACACATGCACCATACGCCAATGATGATGCGTCGGCAAAACCGTGGATTTCGTAGGACACGGCGTCGTGGAACGTAACTCTTCTTGGTATGGCGATTTTGTCGAGTGCTGGCAAGGTATTTGCAAATTCAACCCATCGCTCCTGTATCGAGTCGTTGACGGGCTCATGCCAGCCAATCTTGTGCTTCCACAGCTGTTGCACTAGTAGCTTGGCGACGACAATCACTGGTGACACAAGTCCTAACGGGTCAAAAAGCTTGGCCACCTCGGAGTAGATGATACGCTTCGTTGATCGTTGATTCAAATCACATTTTGGCGGCCTTGCGATGAGGAAATGATCGGCTTTTGGATCCCAAAGCAAGCCTAGCACTTTGATGACTCCATTCGGTCCATATTCTTCCAATGGAACGGGCTGTTCCAGTCGATCGTTTGGAATGTGGTCCAAAAACTCGTTTGAGTTGGAACACCACTTGTGCAGCGAAAACCCTCCTCTCTTCAGTAAGCCTTCCAGCTGCCTTGCTGCTTCTAGGGCCTCCGGAAGTGAATTTGCACCGAAAAGTGCATCGTCGACGTAAAAATCCTCCTTGGCGATTTGCGCACCGATCGGAAAATCGGTTGATTCATCATCGGCGAGCTGCTGCAAGCACCTGGTAGCTTGGAACGGAGCCGATGCTGTTCCATATGTAACCGATGACTCGGAGTGGCTCTGACGGCTGCTCACACCAAAAAACACGGAGATAGTGTGTGTCCCTTGGATGCATCTTGATTTGTCGATACATCTTCGGCACGTCGGCTGTGAATGCAACTGGGTACTTGCAGAACCTGAGTATGACGTCATAGAGTTCTTTCTGTACCACTGCACCGACTTGTAGAACCTCATTGAGTGAACGGTGGTTCACTGTTGGTTTGGCGCTGGCATCAAATACCACCCTGCACTTGGTGGTCGAACTTGATGGGCGAAGTACCGCATGGTGCGGCAGGTAGTAGTTTTGCTGGTGCGGTGGATCGTCTTCTTCTCGTACTTCGTGGCAGTGTCCCAGCTCTTCATACTCACGCATGAACTGAACATACTCCTCTTTCAAATCGGGGTTCCGCTGCAGCCTCCTCTGCAGCATCTGAAATCGCTTCAAAGCAACCGCTCGGCAGTCACTAAGCTCGTGCACGTTATCCTTGAACGGTAGCCTCACTTGGTATCGTCCATTTTCATCACGCTGGTGGGTGGCGACGAAATGGGCTTCACACTCCTGTTCTTCCTTCGTCAGAGGACTCGAATCTGGCACCTCTTCGAGCCTCCAAAATCGTTGAATGGATTCCTCGATGTCATCCAACGATACGATGAGCGAATGTTGTGGTTGATTGGCGTGGATCGTGTTAGTGAATACACCGCCTAAAACCCATCCAAGGCAGGTTTCACGGAGATCGGGAAGGCTGTCGTCGAGTTTGATATGTCCTGGTCGCATCAACTTGAAGAATAACTCTGCACCAAGAAGCATATCGATCTTGTCCGGTTTGTAGAATTCCGGATCGGCTAGTTGGACGCCGAAGGGAATGTTCCAAGATGACACGTCGATTCTTGTTGGCGGAATGACACCTGTCACATTGGGCGTAACCAAACACTCCACGTGTGCTTGGAAGTCGGTGAGTCGAGATCGGATGTTGACCATCACCTTGTCGTGGGCTACAGTCCTGACGTCGTTGATGCCACAGATTGGAACGTTGACACGATGCTTCTGAATTCTTAAAAGATTTGCAAAATTGTTTGTTACGAAATTTACCTGAGAGCCGCTATCTAGCAGTACTCGGCATGAATGCAGTTGATTGTTTTCGTCCAGCACGTTGACAACCGCTGTCAGCAGGAACACAGTTTTCGTGGAATCGGCGTAGTTACACGAGCAGGATGTGCTCGGTATATCTCTTCCGGATGGCGGGTTTGCTACCGTGCTGTTCGGTTGAACTGTGCGGGACTCTTCTTTCGAAACGGACACGTTGGCTTTCGGTTCTCGGTTTACCTCGTCGTTGTGGAGTTGTGTATGATGCCGTTTCTGACACTTTTGGCAGCACCTCGGTGATGAACACTCCTTGGAGCTGTGCCCCTTGCGCAGACAGTTGAAACACACACCAGTTGTGCGTACCTTCTCCATACGTTTGTCAAAGGACATGTTACCAAGCGCATTGCATTGGTAGTTGCGATGTGCACCTTGGCAGAAATCACAAACCTCCTTGCTGATTGGTGTGGTTGCGGCGGCATGGACCTTCGGGTTGCTTGCTTTCGGTTGGAATGCTTGTACCTTCGGGGTCGATTTGGAAGCGGGCTGCGCATTAACCTTCTGGAAAGCTGTTTCGCAGTTCTCCAACATTTCACATCTCGATTGCAGGAACGTAATGGTTTGCGCATACTTGGGTAGCACGCCCTTCTTCTGTGTGCCTTCCCATGCCATCCTGGTCGTGTTGTCCATGGCGGTCGTCAGCATATGAACCAGAAACAAATCGGAAATACCGAGGAATTCCTGTTCAAGATACTTCAGACTCTCGACGTGGCGGGTGCACTCATCGAGCAGACGTCGCACCTCCTTGTGGGATCCGGATGACATTCCTTGCAAGTTGAACAGACCACGAACGTGCGTCTCGACTATGATCCTTTTGTTTTCATAGCGATCGGTGAGAATGGTCCACGCTTGCTGGTAATTACCTTCGCTGATTACTTTGGCATCCAGAGCACCTGTTGCTGCACCAACCAGAGCCTTGTCCAGATGATACAGCTTGATCGCGTTCGAGTCTCCTGAGTTGGCCATCAAGTCTTGGAATATGGCCTTGAACTTCGGCCAGTTGGCATAATCACCATCGAAGGTTGGAATTGGAGCCTTCAACGGTTGCTGTTGGACGATGATTTGTTGTTGCGGGGCTTGAGAACGAACACTGGCATTTTCGTGTGCCATGATTAGCTCATCGATGGTCGTGCGGACGAAGTTGTATCGGTCTTCAAATGCGACATAAACTTCCTCCTGCTGTTGAAAACTTTCTTGGGGAATGATAGCAACCATTTTGCTATGCACTGCGCTGTATTCGTTGTAGGCCACATCGATATTCTTCATGTACGTCCTGAGTTGTGAGAGGCTCACCAAGTTTCGAGCGGCAACAAGCGCCCTTTGCACACGCACTACTTTCATGGTGACCTGGTCTCGCTGGCGGGAAAGCGACGTTATTTCCTTCACGGTTTCGGAATCAGCACTGATTTCCCATTCTGCAAATCCTTCGAATATTGCTGACTCGTCGTGCTGCTTCTCCTTGCCTGTGCCCTCAACTGCTTCCTTAGCAGCAGGCTTACCTTTCGGGGTTCGATCCACTGGCATAATGAACTCGTTGTCACGTCGTACGTTACACACAGCACGAGCACGTATGGTTTCGGAATAGCGGTTCTGTAGAAAAATCCTTCGGCGGGCGGGTTGAAACTTGCGAATCGGATTCGCAAGCGGCGGTGATCAATAATTGATTCCTCTCCTGGCGGTACACGTTGTGGTTGGCACACCACGGAAGCGTGTCGGAATACACTCGGTCGAGTGGCGATGGTGTTGAATCCTTTCCTACGGGCGGCGCTGGATCCGGTTCGAAGGACCACTATGTTGGCGCGTTTACCGTGGCCAACTCCGGTGGGTTGGAAGTGGACTGTATTTCGTTCGGATTGAAAGATTCAACACACTAATCAAATTATCACCTTAACACTACTTTTATTCTAACTAGTTCACTATTTCTCTACAGATTGCTTTCTTACTTCACTGGATGTAACTTGGATGGTGGTCAGAATAATACTCAAAAAAACGCTGGCTGGCTGTGTCGCTTTTATAGCAGTCGTCCTATCGTATTTTGCTACTTTTGGTCCTATATACTTGCCTGCCGTGCGCTACGGCGAGCAGCAGGCAGCAGCATGTTGAAGAGAAGTATATAGTGCTTCTCCCTTCTCGTTCGGTGTCCTTAAAATTCTACCTGGAGTGCGTTGTTGCCACGATGGGTGGTTTGAATGACGATGTTGTGTTTTGGAAGCTACTATAGCTTGTTTCGCACGGAACAGCTGTGGTCGTGGTTGTTGAAAGTGTTCGGGCTGGTCGTGGTGTGGTGTACAGGTAGTTGTCCTCATGGTCGGAGTTGAGGGTATGACAGCATGCATCATTGAGGGGTCCGCTTTCGGAGGTAATGTCTCGGTCGGCTGTAGTCATATTTGAGAGAACAGGCCTGCCTCGCGGAGGAAAGCCAGTAGTGCCGCTGAGCGGCAAGGATCTTCACTGAGGGCGTCTCGGATGCTGCCGGGGATGTCGAACAGATTTCTAGCTCCTTGGTATTGCGGGCAGTGGCATATAAAGTGTTCCACCGAATGGTGGATCTGGCATAGTGGACAGGGTCGGTGGAATTCGCCATTTCCCGTTATGTTGTGTGAGATATGGGTGTGTCCTGACCTAAGCCTAGAGATCACTACTTGAGAGCGGTGGTCAGGTAGGTCCTCCCAGCGGTGTGTCTTATCTTTAATTTTACGGATGAACAGATTTCGTGAGTCCAGCCAGTCCTGCCTCCAAGACTCCCATGTAATTTTGGAAAGCCAGGTTTTCAGATCCGGGCCTGGAACTTTTCTTAATTTGCTCATTTGTCGACCTGAAGATGCGAGGTGGTCAGCTTCGACGTTACCCTGGATCCCACAGTGACCGGGTATCCAGGCGACGGTGGTGTTTGGTGGAGCAGATCGGATGATGGCTTGGATCCACGGGTGTGTGGGGTGCTCGGCGTCAAGGGCGGCTACCACGCTGGCGATGGCCTGGGGGTGTTTTTCGTGGGATGGAGTGAGAAGCCTCGTGAAAATCGACTGGATAATGATGGTAGATTCCTACCTCAACATCCTGCGGGAAAATCTGGAGGTTTCGCTGATCCAGACGTCCAGACGGGCTCTGAAGAGAAGTTCGTATTATTTCAGCAGTACAACGACCCGAAGCATACTGCCAAGAAGATCAAATCGTTCTTCCGGTCTTGTCGGATCAAACCACTCGGTGCCAGGGTTGACAAAACTGGGCTCTTATTACCGATGTCACTTTACGGTGAAGTGATTCCTATTTGATTTAAACGGCAATCACTTCACCGTGAGTGACAAGTGGTCCCTTCACTTCGTTTTCACCGTGAAGTGACACTCGTAATAAGACCCGATGTGGGCACGTTATTTTGCCTATCAGTGTATATGCTAATAGAAGGACAGACGCTGCTTAGAATGACAAGAATACTCAAATTCCCCAATTTAATTGTTATTTGGCTTGTTTCTAAGTCGTTTTGGATTTTGTTTCTTCTTTTTCATCATTTTGTAGTGAATTGCGTTTACGCGTGAAGTTTGAGATATATGGTTTAATTATTTGAATCTGACGTTTTTGTTTATGTTTTGCGGATGTTGAAATTAACGTAGTTCATTGTTATTATTATTATTATTATAGTATACTACCGGCATAACCACAGAAGAATGCTCTCCGGACACAGTTGAAAATTACTTAAAAACTTCGCGTATCATTATGGTCCATGCTTTCTTGAGTCTCACCAAATAGGAATGCCAATCCAGCAACTTTTCACTGGATCTCAGATTTGACTTGAACCTCATTCGGGTCCTCTCCGGGTCCATGCACCTTCTCAACATGTGCCTTTAGCAAGCAATTCAACCTGAACTGCTCACCACAGGCCTGACACACATACGGTTTATGCTGCGTGTGAATTCGCTGGTGCACCCGATGGGCTTCATGCGATTTGAACCGCTTGCCACAGACCTCGCACTCGAAGTTCCGTTCGCCCGAGTGGACTGGGGTGTGTTTTGTGAGAGCGGCTCTGGTGAAAGAGAAAAAGATAACTTTTAACAATGCTCAGATTACGCCATCACCGGCTGCCTACTTCTTATGGAAACCTTTATGGCACACTTCGCACGTAAACTGCGGGTCCTCATGGGTGATCAAATGTTGACGCAGATAGCTTTCCGTTAGAAACAAGGATCCACAGATGTTACATAGCACTTTGGCATCCTGACCGCAGATTTGTTCGTGCCTTTGGCGATCGTAATTGGTGAAGAACATCTTGTCACAGCCCTCACGCGGGCAGGGAATCGTTCGTATTCCTAAAATGAGAAAGGGCTTTGAATTAAGAACAACCGCGGGATAGGCTCTCATGTGTATACCGTTGTGCCAGTTGGTATGAAGTGTGAAATTTTTCTGACTTCGGAACTTCTTCGGACACTGCGCACACTGCAACAGGATTATTGTCTTGGGAACTTTAGATTCGTTGGTGCAGAACGCTTTGTGGCTTACGTAGCTAGTTTCGTTAGCGAACTGCGTCGAGCAACGGCCACAGAAATACGGAAAGTCTGGATCCTCCTTGGTAGGCGCCAAGTTTAGCTCCGGTGAAGAAATACCCAAATCCGGTCCTGGCTCGTCGAGCTGGCTCATCAAGTTTTCACTGGAAACATTCTCCGTCTTACATTTCTTTGGCCGTTCAGCTTTTTGGCGTCCAGCAAAGGTGGCAAGAAGTTTCTTCGATTGAGTCAACGCCGCCATACAGGATTGCTTAAATTCGTAAAACTGGTCTAATGAAGTCTTGCAACGTTCGCAACATCTGACCGTGCATGAACGCGGGAAAAATTTGCTGGTTCTGAAGCCCAAGACAGATATCACTCTCTGCCTCAGTACAGAGATTCGCTCGTCATCACGTCGAATAAACTGCAGACAAAAGCGGCACCGAACATCATTTACATTCCGAGTACCTTTCTTCAGCGGAAGCAATAACTGACCAGGGTCTGGTCCGATCAGGTCTTCCGATTTGTCCGGATCCGGTAATTTCACATCCTCTTCTAGCGTCTGCAGCGGCGTCGGTCTATCTTCCATATCCAGCGGTTCCTCTTTTATTACGATTTCCCATTCCAATGGAGCCGAATGTACATCTGAAAGTTTAGGTAAGTTGTGTTAAATATGTTTATTAGGTATTCAAAAAGAACATTGTATCACATACCTTCAACAAGCATTTCCATTTTGAGACCTGGAAAAATATCGGAAAATTCCGGCATCAGAAAATGTTCTCAATCACTACTTAGGTATAATTTTATAAAATTTCCTACACTTGCAAAAACAAAATCGCAAAATGAGACACATAGAAAATTATTGAAAAAGGGTCAAATAGGTACTTCAGCAGGAACCGACAAATTAAATGGTCAACAATACCTTGCCACCTGTTGGTTACACTCATCAACTCCTCACGTTTTTTAGCGTAACGTACAAGAGCCGCCTTGGTCCGTCGGTTTCGTTTCCTTGTTCGCGCAAGTGAACGGCCCATAGTAAATCGCGTATTTTCTTTCACCACAAAATCTGGTAAAGTGCACGTAGCACTAGACCAACAAATTGGAATAGGCGGAACTGTATATACTATAGATGGAATCTTATAGTATCTATAGGCGGAACAACTTTTTCTTAATCCCTTTTGTTACGGATTCCAATAAGATCTGGATCGTGTTGAAGTGACTCGAACTTGTCCCCGTGTCCAAATTGTTAAGAAGTCCAATAAATAAAAGATTTGTTTGTGAATTAACGTCTAATTACTTCAGAAGTAGGAACAGTTATGAAAGTAGAAAATTCTCCTACCAAACACCTTAATTCGTAGGCTTCTTAGATCTTTATCTCATGTGGTTACTATGGAACACCTCTATCTAACGTCGGTCTCTCTTCCGCAATCCTAAGACAAGACAGGACATCTGGTTTCTTTTTGTTCTTCGCAGGTTTTTCATTAGCTACTGCAGTCCCTGTTGAACATTACACTGAGCAAACAAACTTAAGAATTTTATAAGGCTCGACCTATGAACGACACATATAACTTTCATAATCGTGACTTAGGATTGATGTTCGTCTAACACGAGGTAGCTCCAAGAGATATTCAACTCTGCCCACCTTAATTCGTGCCGAGTGATTGAGCTGTGCCGAACGTGCCTATCAAGATCAATCAAAGTGCCAATATTCCACAAGCAAATGTGTTTTGTGATTGTGATTACATTCTCAACTTCTCTGATCATGGCAACCATTCACCTTCATTCTCAGAGAGGTGCAAGCCAAGCTTCAGGCTCGATGTCCCTTTGAACTGTTGATTTCTTACATAAAGTAGAAACCTCGGGAGAAACCCGGTCGATGAATTCCTGCCAATTAAATTCTCCCCGACTAAAGTAAAATCGACATCAGTGTTGCAAGCTTCACTCTGCGTAACTCTTCTATCATCAATTCTGGCCGGTAAATATGGACCAGTTAGGTCTGTGCCACAAATGGGAAGTCTGACCGGTCCCTTGTAAAAATAATTCAGATTTCCTACCTGGCGTTGAAGACCCTTCTCCAGCGTCCCAGCCGGTAGTAGGTGATGCATTACATTTGGCTGCTTTCTTTTTGGCCCGGTGACACCGAACTCGTTCCGCAACGGTCTTTGCTTTCTTCGGAGGCTTTTCCGGCTGTTGGTCCTTTGCACGCTTTCGGTGTTCGCGCTTGTACTTTGCAGCCATATATTGAGACATATTGCACTGATTTTCACACTTGCCACCAATTTTTCAATAGAATGCTGCACGTTGACGTCACGAATAAACGCGATGAGCCCCTCGGTCTTCAGTTTAACATCCAGGTGGTTTGTTTATCTTTGTCTGTTAGTCGATTCAAGTGGATTCGAGTTATTTCAGTGTCAACATTTCAAAGGGGCGTAATTGCGTTGGTCGTCGATTTCTAGCGAATTAAAGCTCACCCCTCCAAATTAACAATGCCAGCTGGTAGAGGATATATTCATCTACCTGTTGGAGTTGTCATGAGTAAGATTTTATTCGCGAGAAATCGACGACTAACGCCATTGTTTACACAAGGAATTACGCCCCTTTCTAATGTTGACACTGACGTTTTTTAAAAGAACTATGTTGTTAAACTTTTTTGTTGTCCGACTATGTTCTTTTACAAAATCTTGTAAGTCCATGTAAACAAACCACTACCAGATGTCGAAAAAAATGAGGAGCATTATTAACGAGGGTATCTCATTCAGTCATGTGTTTTACCTCAAAAAGTCCACAAAGGAGATATTTAGAAGAAGCACAAAAGATAATCTAGAAATCCATAGGGTGATCTGCAAGAAAAACAAGAAGATTTGGAGCAAGTTCATTGGAAGATCTGGAGGAAGTTCATTGGAAGATCGGTAAGAAGTCCACAAGAATATCCAAAAGAAGTCCACAAGAAGATCTGAAGAATTCTACAGGAAGTCTACACGAAGACCTCAGGAAGAACTATAGAAGCGTTTACGGCACGCACCTTCGAATTATGAGATTTTTCGGTGAAAAGAAGACATAACACAAAATACGCAGAGACTGATAGATGCTTATTGAATTTTACCATAAGATTAAAGAGTTATAGTCGCCGTGAACGCCAGTTAACTTACCTTCCTGGACGAGATGATCGGATTCGGCCGACTCCTTCAGAACCGAAATCTGAAATTCTCTCTCCTATGCTTCTCTTAGACGTTTCAGTTAATGGCACTGGGTCATCTTGTCAACTTGTTTGAAACTTATTTACTGATTACAACACTTCATATTACACAAAATGTTTTATTAATTTAATAGTTTTGAGGTACAAAATACTTTATTAATACTTACTTTCAAACTGCACATAAACATAAACAAACACTTCCGCCGGTACCAATAAGTTGTAAACAGGGAACGCCAAGAGAATAATTATTTCAAGCTGAACATTGCATTAGGTCCTAAGTAACATTGACAGATTATCTTCGTCGACTTTCTCTTTGTATTTCCACGGCCATGTAAAGACATTCCCAGGTATTTTCAGCACACAGTTCGATAAAACGCTGTCCAGACTGGAGAGTTATAACATGTTATAACGGTTGTCAACTAATTGCAACACAGAAACCACCATCAAGATAGCGCTATAACATGTTATAACTCTGTAGTCTGAACGTACTATAAAAGAAGCTTTTATCTAGCATCTAATACGACAAACAAAACAAGAAACGGTTATGTGCTCAAGTTATTGACGAAAGAGAAAGTCGACGAAGAGATTCGAGCAATGTTACTTAGGACCTAATGCAAGGCTCAGCTTGATTTGTCGTCTCTTTTGTTCCTCCGGCCAAGGTGGCTACATATAGGTGTTCTAATGTGTCAAATTCATGATTCAGCCATGTTGGATTTTTGTATGGGACAGCGACCGAGTTTGTTTACAATTTGCTCTAAAACTGCACTTTTCCCACCCGCGACCTCCTCGCCTATATAGTGACAAAGCTGTATCACCATTTATATACCCACCATGCCTCCGGCGACGTCCTAGTCCGTCACTGTCCGCACTGCCGGTATACTGTCCAATGCAATGACATTTATATAAGGTCTGGTGTTAGAAGCAAAAATATTCTAAACATTGCTGAACATCTGCGAACAGATAGAAATACGTCACTGCCAACTGTTTCGTGTAAAAATATAAACATTGCAATAAAATCAAGCTAAGTAACATTGATCGATTCTCTTCGTCAACTTTCTCTTTCCTTAATAACTTGAGCATATAACCGTTTCTTGTTGTGTTTGTCGTATTAAATGCTGGATAAGAGCATCTTTTATCGATCTGTGTGCTGAAATTACCTGGGAATGTTTTTATATGGCCGTGGGGATACAAAGAGAAAGTCGACGAAGAGAATCTGTCAATGTTACTTAGGACCTACTGCAATGTTCAGCTTGAAATACTAACACCACTATACTGAACCAAAACATCCGCAATACTTCGAATGATTATTGCATTGCTCGAGCCCTTTAACAATATGCATTCGAATTTCGGATGATTTTCTTATGGTTGAATTCGTCGTCAGATGATGAACATCCATATGACTGTCATCCAAATACAGGATGATTTTCGTTTGAAAATTAGCTATAACACATACGGCACTCAGAGGACAAACATTTAAGAATAGTGTGACATGCAAGTGCTTTTAATTAGATTTATAATTTGATAATCTACAAATCCATACTGAATAGCCATCATAAGCCATTCCATTAAGCATACAAAAAATTTTCGTGGTGGAGAAAACCTCCTCCACCACGAATTAGCCAAACATTGGTTTTCATGCTTTACCTATGTTCGTAACAGCTCTGATAGCGATGCATATGCTTCCACCTCGTTTGTCAGCTCAGATCAGCAAATGACGTTCGATAGAAGTATTTATATCATCGTTTTGAATGATTTGCGTTATGGGGCTGAACCACCCTAATAACAATGTTATGGTTAATTTGCTTAACGACGTGTTCGAGGTATCATCCAAACCATTTGTGGAATAGTTCAATCATTAGGGTTATCGTTCGTTTATGGTATTTTTTTATTAGGGCAATACCATATGCATTTCCATTTAGTATGACAGTCATTCTGCAGAGAGCATTACGCATTTCAACTGAAGGCCCTATCCCTTCTCATAACAAGTTTCATCCTGTATTCGAGAGGAAAATCACTGATTTCAAAACAACCGTCATCCGGTTGCAGCTATCATTCGAAAAAGCGATTTCGGTGTTTTGTTTTGAATGGTCTGAGGTTTCATTTGATCAGAGGATGATGTTTGTGTACAGTGTAAATATTTTTGCCCATTTTTCACTAACACGAACCTACACGAACACCTGATGCTTTGTTCGATTCTCTTAATCGACTGTCTGGAGTCCTTTTTGATTAAGTCGTATGTAACATTTTTGTCAATTAGAGAAACGAGGTGTTTTGTTTTGGTGAACAAAACATTGTTTCTATTTTCAGTGAGATATATTATTCTTTCAAAATTCTCATTAACTAACATCTCAGGAGTGCTTCTATCGACTGCAGAATATCTCCAAAGCAGCTCGGAAGGTTTTTCAAAATGTCATCAAGGAAAGCGAGATACCCAGGTTTGTTGAGAAACACATATTGGATGTGAATTATTTGGCTAGTACGGCTAATAGAGTTCTCTACCACCGTTAGTATTAGTGAGCAGTTTCACTAATACAAGCGTTTTACTGGTTGAAAATAAAAAACAATCCGCTGTCAAGTCGAACACTTTGACAGCTGATTTCGTGGTTGAAAATAATAAGCAAATCGATTTTACACGGCTACACTAGCAACGATGTATTGGTGAAATCTTGCGGCAAGAAGTCAATACCGACTTGCTTCACTCTTCAGGTTAGCACGGAAGACACCCGGAAGATTTACTGCATTCTGGTGATGGCTGGAAGATGAGCTCTAGGAAAAGATCGAAAAGAGCTACATCCGACGACATCCGGCTTGGGATTGATCTCTTCAATCATGAAGTGTTCCCGAGTAGCTTTCGAAAGGTCCTCATAGATTTATTAAACGATTATTGAAACACGGACATTTGTACAAAATAATGTCCCGGTTTATTTCAGCTTCTTTTTTCGTTCAGTAATTATAGATAAGCATAGCTTTATAATAGTTTCCACACGTCATTGTTGAGGATCAGATCCCGACATCGCTTCCGGAATCACATTTAATCCTCTTTTTTTCCTTGATTTGTTTTCCGTGCTGAGCACCAATACTACCGACGCCAGGGAGGTAGCTCTCACGCCTGAACCCTACCTATCGACCCATCAACTCATGAACCGGGGACCAACGGCTTCACTTCCCTTGGAAGGAAGGCGTGATCAGAGATGTTATGCCTCAGAGGGTCTAGTATAAGAGAGGAGCGGATTCAAAACAAACTGCTTTGGCAACCTATGCCTAAGTGACTTCTAGCAACACTGCCAATGCAATCAATATTTTTAATTCTTTGGTACAAACTACGTAAATATTTACCTTTTTTTTTTGACAAAACCCAGGTAATCATAACGTTTGATTATTGAAAACAATATGAATGAAGAAAAGAGACCAACTGCTGTCATGATTACCTGAGATTTGTCAAATATTCTAAATATTTACATCGATTGTATCGAAGAAAAGGTGGTGCTCGATTGGCTCTGGCTTTGACAGTTCGTTTGGCTCCAAAGCAGCCACACGCAGAAAAAAAACATAGTGCAATCAAACAAATTATCAAATCAAATGATCATGTTAAACAAAATTTTGAATAGAATATGGATCAATAAAACTGATAGATTAATTCAACAACAAAATTGAGTTGGGATAATACTACTAATTTTATTGAATTGAACATCGGCTTTTATTGATTTAAAAAAATGTTTGCTTGAATCCAATTGAAGCATTATTTAAAGTAATTGTCGTTTTTTGTTGCATTCAAATGTTATTTTTATTGTTTCAAAACCAAATTTATTTAAATTCTCAGGTCAGATTAGCTGTCATTATAAAAAAATAAACCCACATTTTTCAATTAAGGTTTCAATTAAGTTACTAACTAAGCCACTGTTTTTTATTAATTTATTTGGTGCGTGAATGGGTGGAAGAACATGTTTCCCTTGTGCGCCTTTCTGTACACCATGGTGTGGATTCTAATGTAATTGTTGGTGGAGGAGGAGTTCCTGAAATGATAGAATATTAGAAAATGCCAAGGAAAATGATCATTTTACTTTTTTGCTTCTTTATTAACAATGTTATGATGTCGATACAGACTGACAGTTTGAAACGTGCATTACACACACAATGATAAAAAAAGATTTAAAAAAAATTGTGCTGGTTTGATTTAAATAGGCTTCTTTATTGATTTGAAACTTCATTATGAACTGAAATAAATCGAAATTTCGTATTAAATAATAACAAAATATTTTATTGGTTTACGTCTCAGTATTTTTTCTGCGTGCAGTTTGCTCCTCTCTTACACGGTAATCACAATAAACTCTCTTATGACTATAAAGTACGCTCTTTCTTTGGAAAATGGGACTACCCAATAAAGGAGTATACTGTTTTTACTCTCTTTTGCGTAAATTGAATGTACGTCAGAATCTGCATACTTTTTACACCACATAGTAAACTTAAAAATGCGTAGTTTTGACAACCCGAACAAAGTATAAATGCGTAATTTATACTCCCACATGCATAGTTAAATGCATAGTTTTCACATTGAAAAAGAAAAAAAAAAATACCTAGGATAAAACAAATTTTGTATTTCAAGTTCGTTTCAAATATTGAATAAAAATGCATAAGAATTTTAACAGTAATATTTATTTATTTAATTAAATGCAATAAATCCTTTCTACATTTTATTCGCATCAATCGTCAAAACACTTACACCAATCCATCAAATCAGCGGTGCTGCCAACTCCTCCTCGACTCCCAATGCATCACGTTTGGTGGCTTTTTACCGCCTTTTCTGGACAGTTGTCCCATGATTCGGAGGCATCCACGGACATGATCTACATTATTTTGAAAATTTCATTTAACACGTTACTTTTTTATTCGGTTAAAATTTTTTATTTGGTTAAAGATAAAAGTAAATGCTTTAATTACCTGCCAGTGTCATGAAGACGTCCTGTTCCAAAGTGTTGGACCATTCCTTCATTTTCCGCTGACCCACCGCTGACACTTTTACCACCTTTTACAGTTATAATCCGGGAACTGAATTAAAACGCTGCTTTTCCAATGAAAGCTATTTTGAAAATGGCGGCACGTCACGGCATAAATTTTGTTTTCTCAGCGGCGACTACTTTTTACACATTTTTGTTCGTCGTTGACATACTCGGAAATGCATAAAAAGTACTCTTCATTTGTAACTAAAATCTAAACATTTTTTGACGTATGTATAAACCGTATTCTTGAAAATGTGTAAAAAATAGTCATAAAAGGAGTATTCTAGAATAACCGTGTATACAAGACCCTCTCTAGAAACAGATAGTGCACCGTAAAAATACTCAGAGGGAGAGATGGGCAGAGAGAATGTTTTGAGCCAAACGAACTGTCAAAATCTGAGCCAATCGAACATTCCAATTAGATTTTTCAGAGGATTTCGTATTCTTACTAGAATAAATTTGAGAGTATTGCAATCGTACAGAAATTCAATCACCTTTATGTTTTGTGTGCTTCTCAAATTCAACTAGTTTTTGGAACCAAAAACATTATTCTAACTCTATTGATTAATTGATCTTCGTTGGTTAATAAATGGCACCAAGAAATGTGCAAAATATTGCAATGCAATCAGTTATTATTTTGCACGTAAATCAAATCAAAAATAAAAGCTATTTGAAGTGCTAGCTTTTAGCAAGGGTTGCAAGATAATTTAGGAACAAATCCCTGCTGCCGAATTGTATTTTGTTTTCTCCGCCTATCTCTCCCTTTAAATATTTCTAGTGCACGGTATATAAATAAATAAAATGTAATATATAATATATCAAAATATAATATACTATGTGGGATTTTCAATAAAATTAAGATAATCTAGATTAAAGAGCCTGAATTTATAATTATTCTCTTTAATCTAGATGTGTCACCAACCTCGAGAGAATCGATCACAGCAGATAGGACCTTTTGAAATGTGCCTCTAGATTTAGCACCCCCAACACCGTTTGTCGGTAAAGTAGTACAAACATTTCATAAATCAGCTGAGCACTTCTGCCATCGCATTCACTCCGACACGTTCGCCCGCTAGTTGGTGCATTCTGTCTCACGCATATCGCAGTGTAAAAAGTGCATTATCCCCTCACAAATTGCGGTCAAGGAAAAGAATTTCGCTTCGCGGTTTGTTTTTATCGTTGAATGTTGATTCGTTGTGCGGTTTTCTGTGCGTTATCAATTTCTTTGTAGAGCCATATTGAGCGATAAGTAGTGTTTGCTCGCATTATTGAAGCTGATCGGCCATTACAAGTTTTGATCGGCTAGTATTCTCGCGTGAGCTTGGTGCATCTATTGTTGAACCTAGAAGAGAAACTCCGTGTCCCCGTTGTTCTTTTGTTATTCTGCGTAGAAAGAGAGTTGAAAAGTGTCGGGTCAAGTTTCAAGTGCATCAACGCCCTTGGAGGAAATCTGCAAAGTACACTTTCATTGGTGAGTAACCGCGTTCCCATCCCACAGTAAATGATTCGTACAACTTGTTAGGGCATCAAAAAAATCAAATTTATTCACTCACTAGGCACGGACGTGTGTATCCTGAGGCCGTGCATGTCTTTGATTTCGCTTTTGAGCGTCTCCGTTATCAGTCGGTGCTGCTTCACCGTCGATAAACCCTTGAACTCTGTCGTTTCCACGTAGATTTCGTACATCGATCCGCAACCGCCGGAGATGTCGCTTACCACTACGTTTTTAGCCTACGATTGCGCCGGTTGGTTGTTGGGAAGACAAACAGAGATTAGATAATATCATGGTCAATAATTGCTCCACATTGTCCTGATAAGCCTCTCATCATAGACATTGCCCACATACCTGAGGGAATTTATTTTGAAGTGTTTTTCTCAGGGCATCCTCTGAATTTTTAGCAGCTCCAGCTGTTCCTGACCAAACTCGGCTTAAAATCTAGAATATACACAATCAAACGTGTGACGGGTTTATCATTAAATTTCAATCATAGAATATAGGTCAGTGAAGGCAAAACAGGTATAGAACGTAGATGTAAACATAACCTTCAAGAAGAAAAAAAATATCAGGTTGTCCTTCACGCAATCCACTCCATTTTTCACTCACCGAAATGTATCGCTGTCCGGCCAGTCGCATCATATTGTGGCTCATTTCAACGAAATTTTAAATGTTTAACTTATAAATCTACAATTTTATCACTAGGAATTTAGTTCTACTGATTACCAGGAGAAGAATATTAATGCTGCGAGCAGCATAAAAACACTCCGTACTTTTTATGAAACTGTGTGCCGGATTTGTTATGAAACAGATTTTGCCTTGCGCTCGAGCTTCGCCTGCTTTATCGTCCTTCATTTTGATGGTTCATTTTCAGCAACTCGCCCAGCTCAGCGGGCGAGAAATAATGGGGTGTAAGCTTGGGTGTTAGGAAGAGCTTTTTATTTCTAATAAAAGCTCGACTTTTAAAACGAAAGCTTTGATGGCGAACAATGGGTTGCTGTGGAAGGTATCATGGTCAAAGTCGTAACGAATTAAGATTTAGATGTGTTTTATTGGCGATCTAACGATAGCGCTCGTGGCGAATAGGAGAAGTGAAAAATGATGTTGAAATATTAAAAAAAACGTCGACTTTCTCTTTGTATCCCCAGGGCCGAATAAAGACATTCCCAGGTATTTTCAGCACACATATCGATAAAAGAAGCTAATACTACACGGCGAATGAGAACGACCCAAATTTGAGTTTAGTTCACTCATAATCGTCAAAAGTGCAGGAACTCAGCGATGAGTAAAATTTGTCTCATGGTTTCTTGTGGAAAACCTAAAAAATCTGCCGGAAAATGAGGAAATTGACGAAAATTTTATTCAGTCTCCTAGTAGTACCAATAGACTGAGTGAATGCAATCTTTACTTTTCTCAAATTCAGGAATTTTTCCCTGGAAAATCCTGGAAAAACCTGGGAAAACATGAGGCAAATTAACTCATCGCTGAGTTCCTGCACTTTTGGCGATTATGAGTGAACTAAACTCAAATTTGGGTCGTTCTCATTCGCCGTGTACAAACACAACAAGAAACGGTTTCGTTCTCAAGTTATTAACGAAAGAGAAAGTGGACGAAGAGAATCGATCAATGTTACTTAGGACCTAATGCAATGTTCAACTTGATTTGTTTTTTATTACTGAAACCATCATAAATTTGTTTTCCTATTTGCCGCAAGCGGCACATTATGTTATTGTTATATCGCCAATTGATGAGTTTAAGTGACGGTCGACCAGCAGATGGAAATGATGTGAAAAATGATAATGACGTTTTGCTACCTGTCAAATCGTATGGAATATATTTTAGTACATCATCAGTTTTGTAAATGCAAATCTGAAAACTAGGTGTCGCATGGCCAGATTTACCTTTACCAGAATTTTGAAGTTGTCAGCAAGTTGATAAATTTTTGGATCAAAATAAGCGAAACTATTAGAGTTGTTTTTCAATTGATGAATCTACACAAAACTGCACCAGTGCATGCGACACCTTGGTTTGAAATCCAAAACCACAAAAGTGATGATGTACTAAAAAATATTCCATACGATTTGACAGCTAGCAAAACGTCATTATCATTTTCACATCATTTCCATCTGCTGGCCGACCGTAACGTAGATTCATCAATTACCTGTAGGTACACATCAATCGAATGACAATGTTGCTCTGGGGGGTATTCTACTCAACACGCAAGGGAGCATCCATGGCTTTCGTGAACTGGTGCGGCTTGCCACGTTTTTTTAGGCATAGATCTAATGTCTTCGCCAAGCTAGTTCTTGAACATTTATCAGTTGAATGAACATCGGATTCATGGATAAATTATTATTTTTTTTTTCCTTTGGTTTGTTTTTTCCGTCGATCTTGTTTTCCGTGCTGAGCACCAATGCTACCGACGTGCCAGGAAGGCAGCACCCACACCTGGACCCTACCTATCGACCCATCAACTCATGAACCGGGGACCAACGGCTTTACTTCCCATCCGAAGGAAGGCGTGATCAGAGATGTTATGCCTCAGAACATCCCGGCGGCGCCGACTGGGATTGAACCCAGGCCTGCTGGGGTGAGAGGTAATCACGCCTAACACTACACCACCGGCGCCGTTAAATTATTATTTGTGTAAAAATTATGGAGACGTGACCAACTAAATTAATGAAACAAAGTTTAATCCGGTAGGATTGTATTCGGATACGATTTGCAGCCATCGATGGAATCATGCAGGTATTTCGTTGGTTTTAAAGCTTGAGTCATTTAATATCTGGACGCACTGTTTATTTTATTGCAGTGCTCCTAGCGGTCGGATCTGGAATGTTTTGACAGAAGTTTGTTTTGAAATGTTTCCTCTTTCAGTGATGGAAAGTTCGTCATGATTTATTTGTTTAAAGGAAGTTTAAAGGCGTTGAGAACGGTTAGGGCAAACCCAGGGCTGTCGGATTATTTTATCGCCAAGGAATTCAATGCCAGCCAAAGCGCCGTCAGAAGGATTCGTCAGCCAGAAGGATTTCGATCTTTTCGGGCCAGTAAGCAACCAAACAGGACACTGAAGCAGAAGCTAGTGGCCAAAAGACGAGCCCGGAAGTTGTACAATGAGGTTCTTACAAAGTACGAAGGATTCATCCTCATAGACGACGAAACTTACGTGAAGATGGATTATGGGCAGCTTCCCAGACAAAAGCTCTATAGAGCCACTGGTCAAGGTGAGGTCCTTTAGCAAGTTCAAACTAGTTTTTGTCGATAAATTTGCAAGAAAGCTTCTGATCTTACCGATGATCTGGCAAGGTATTTGCGGCTGCGGACAAAAAGCCCTGGTTTACGTGACGAACAAGACTGTCAAAATGTACAAGCAGGAGTGCCTGAAAAAACGTATTCATCCGTACATTAATACCACAGACAGACATACAAATTAGTACCGTTGTACTTCTTTAATCTAGTACCTCAAAACGTACCATTTGTGGTACTAGCTTAACAACAGTGAACTTTGTATGTCTGTACAAGGTATAAGCAACAATCAATACGAAACTAACGATTTTAAATTGGCTCACCACTTTAGTAGCCTATTGGTCCCAAGTAAACGATTAACGTACCCTATTCTAGTTGAAATTCTATTACTACACTATGTTTGTTTTGATTCGCTATGAAAGTTTGACAGATAACATCAGGGGTGTGTGGATTCATGCAGAACATGCAGGGGTGAGTGAAATAGCTTGGGACTGCTTGGGACCGTTGTTCTGGTACTGAGTGAGCCAAAAATAATAATGATTTTCTTCGGGACCCAGTGGTCTTAGAGTTACCTCTATGGTATAAGCATAGAGGTAACTCTAAGACTAGAAGGTCCCGAAATAACGATCTCAACTTTTTGGCTCAGCTCTGGTACTCTCTTCGGTCCCAAGCTAATCGATTCACCCCTCGAAACATAGGAAAAACCAATAACCCCTCATTTTATCTGTCAAACTTTCATAGCGAAACAAAACAAACATTGCGTACTACTAGAATTTCGACTAGAATGGGATACGTTAATCGTTTGCTTGGGGCCAATAGGCTAGTTTCGTATTGATTGTTGAGCACTGCAAACCATTCCCATCAACACAAAATGGTCGTTTTTCACCACATGGTTCACAGGATGCAAACTCTTCCTTTTAGCGATACAGGCAAATCAAAGGAAATAGCTCACATTTTTGAAATTGCTAGACTTAATGGGTATCAAGAAGAAAAAAAAAACAATTCAAGCAGTAATCGTTAAAAGAACAAGGGATAATTTTAGGCGTACTTTGACAACTCTTACACCAGTAACTTAGAGTTTAAAACGGGTAGCGGTGAATTTCGACAAAAACATTACCAAACCATTGATTTAGAAGTTTTGGCCTAGCTTTAGTATTCAGCAGCAGGACAAATCAGCTAAAGTCACTGTTAGGATCAACAAAAGATTAAATGAATGTCTTAGGGAAATCTGCAGTCTACAAAATCTCTTGTCCAGATTGCAATAAAATCTACATTGGTCAGACGAAAATGACTTTATAAACAAGGTTTAAGGAACACATCGCAGAGGTAACAAAGGTTAACAAAGAGATGGATAAAGGACTTCATTATAAATTTAAATCCAAGGTTGCAGAACATATAACAAAGGGCCACAATTTGACAAAGGGTAACATTAATATCCTGTGGAGTGTGCCTTGAAAACTGGACGTAGCAGAAAGTTTAGAAATATTTAAACATAATCCATCAACATTGCTTAATAGAGATCAGGGGAACGGATACTCGAGACTCTTTAGCATGCTACCTAAAACCACACATCGTAGCATGCATCTACCTGTGGGAGACTAAATTTAGGTACCTGGATAGGTAAATTGTGACATGGCAGTGGATACCTGCTAACTTTTAGTACCTATTGATAAGTATATAACTCGTAGATAAAAGATGGAATCTTCACTGGTGTTGAGTACTTGGCACTGATGAAGTCTGCAAGTAGTAGACGAAATACGCGTATCAGTCAAAAGATAAGCAATTATAACGGAATTAAAAAGGAATAAACGAACACATTCAAAGCTTCATAAAGGGATTCCGTTAAGAGGTTCGACAAATTTAAAAGAAAGGTTCGCGATACTAAGCACAACTCATGAACTTTAATCACGTTTGCCAGTACAAGATCATGATTTTCAGGAATAGCGGTGCTGGTGGTGTAATGGTAAGCGTGATTGCCTCTCATCCCAGCAGGCCTGGGTTCAATTCCAGTCGGCGCCGCCGGGATGTTCTGAGGCATAACATCTCTGATCACGCCTTCCTTCGGATGGGAAGTAAAGCCGTTGGTCCCCGGTTCATGAGTTGATGGGTCGATAGGTAGGGTCCAGATGTGGGAGTTGCCTCCCTGGCGTTGGTAGCATTGGTATTTAGTACGTAAAACAAGATCGACGGAAAACAAATCAAAGTAAAAAAAAATTATTTTCAGAACAGAGTTCACGTTTCTATTACAGTTGTTGCCTTTGCTGGAGCCCGGTACAACGTAGCGCAGGCGTTACGTTTAGCTTGCGGAACAATGTTCACGATTTCATGAATTTTATTCATGGTGTACTTTCGAAAACGAAAAACTTTTTTGATCCAAAATCGTGACTTGAGGTTGAAGAAATTCGGAACTGATTTTTAACTTGGAAGAAATTTAATTAATTTTGCATTTAAAAATTATAGTTAACGTACCATTCTTACCGGCGCTACTTTTTTGTTCTATCAGC